ACCTTAGAAACCTCTAAGGAAGGAGATTCCACCACCTCCCTAAGTAACTCATTCCAGTGCTTCACCACCCTCCTAGTGAAAAAGTTTTTCCTAATATCCAACCTAAACCTCCCCCACTGCAACTTGAGACCATTACTCCTTGTTCTGTCATCTGCTACCACTGAGAACAGCCTAGATCCATCCTCTTTTGAACCCCATTTCAGGTAGTTGAAAGCACTTATCAAGTCCCTCTCTCATTCTTCTCTTTTGCAGACTAAATAATCCCAGTTCCCTCAGCCTCTCCTCATAAGTCATGTGCTCCAGCCCCCTAATCATTTTTGTTGCCCTTTGCTGGAGTCTTTCCAATTTTTCCACACCCTTCTTGTGGTATGGGGCCCAAAACTGGACACAGTACTCCAGATGAGGCCTCACTAATACCGAATAGAGGGGAATGATCATGTCCCTTGATCTTCTGGCAATGTTCCTACTTATACAGCCCAAAATGCCATTAGCCTTCTTGGCAACAAGGGCACACTGTTGACTCATATCCAACTTCTCGTCTACTGTAACCTCAAGGTCCTTTTCTGCAGAACTACTACGTAGCCATTCGGTCCCTAGTTTGTAGGGGTGCATGGGATTCTTCCGTCCTATGTGCAGGTCTCTGCACTTGTCCTTGTTGAACCTCATCAGATTTATTTCGGCCCAAGCCTCTAATTGGATGCAATCCACACCATCCTCCAGATCTTTAATGAAGATATTGAACAAAACCGGCCCCAGGACCGACCCTTGGGTCACTCCACTTGATACCAGCTGCCAACTAGACATGGAGCCATTGATCACTATCTGTTGAGCCCGATGGATTCCTTCCATTTCCGAATTTTATTTTATTTTATTTTATTTTGGAATTGCTTGTGGAATGGAAATTCTAGTTCTGGCCAGCTCTTCTGTTACTTTTGAAAATCACTTAATCACTTAGGCCAAGATCGTCAAAGATACCTAGGTGCCTAACTTCCCATTGATTTGAAGTCCTTTGAGGATCTGGACCACAGGTCTTGCAACAGAGTGGCAAAACACCTAAATAAATTTAAAATTCTGCTCTTAATTCTTTTCAGTGCTAATCAGACTAGGTTCCCTGGCTAAGTTGCTGTCTCATATCACATGGAATAGTGCCTAAAGTATTTTTCTTTACATTTAGAATTAAATTTAAAATAACAAATACAAAATATAGCTATGTTCTGCCAAACACATTTTTTTTTATTTTCCTTTGTGCTTTTGCTATTAAATAGAGAAACATTTTTTTTTCTCTCGATAATATTGTATTATCCCTGGCTGGCATGAAAAACATTATGAAATGGTTGAAATTATTATGCACTGCTCTTTATTGTGACTTTGATTGTGAGACAATTTGGTGCAAACTTGCTGTTTGTAGCAATATTTATGATAAAAGGATGGAGCAAGAAAATGTCAAGTGCTTAGCAGACTCGCACAGGGCTTGCAAGAGAATATTTTTTCTTAGTATGCCCTCATCACTGCTGAATTAAAATAAGTTATCAAGAAAAAAAATTAAAAATGAGTTTTCCAGTCTGATGGTGATAAAAAAGATTACTCTAAGCATATTCCATATGTAAGAACTTCTTTGATTTTTTCTCGTTTTTAATCTCTTGTGCAGTTCCCCTTTAAAAAAAGACAATATAACTGGAGTTAAGAAAACCAACCTGCCATCAGCAACTATGTGCTGATTGCCCTGTAATAGTCAATCTTATACTATCTTAGATAACACATTGGGAAGCATTTGATTAATGCCACTGTCCAGATAACTCTTTAAGCTCTAGGGAGATTGGTAGAGAGGAATTTCAGACCGCTAACGTCTCTCTGTCTGGTACATATGAAAAGCGCAGTTATCCAGTGTCATCTCATCACTCACTAGGCTTTTAAAAAACATTACTTTGCAAAAGGATCATCTGGATGCCCTAGCCTTCGCTCTGATGCTTGCTAAAAATAAACAGAGATTCTCTCTGACACTAAGATTTATGCTGCTGAACGACACCCCTCTTTGATTATCTTTCAGTGAAATTCAGTCATGAGAGGCCACCCTTAGCAGCTAGATGGCATTCTGCCCTTTCTGGAAATTAATGACAATGACAAAAGTGGTTTGCCAGCACTCAGGCAGCTGCATTAATGTGAATGGTGTGAATGCTGCAGATACTTAGTTTTGCCTATCAATTTGAAACACTCAATAGCAGAATATATAAAAGGCACTTTCCTTCAAACTTTTAACTTAGGCTCAGTTCCATGTCTCTTGTATGAGTCTCTTTTTGCAAGAGGGGTTCAGACCCTCACAACCAGAATTCAATTTATGGCTTGAGAAACACAAGCTCTGTTAAACTGTTTGTTTGTGCTCCTCAGATATTTAAACGTGTTTTATGAATGCACAGATATCTCTGTGCAAGCATGGAGATTGCTGTACTGTAAGACTGTGTAATATTTCATGCTGGAAGACTTGTTAAACTCTTGTTAAGGGCCGGACACTGGCTTTAAGCCATGGTGCACATTGTGGGGAGAGCTGGAGGGGAAGCAGTACAGTAGGAACCCCGGAGGAATTCTTGCTGGTTCAGGCCAAAATTCCTCTTTGGGCTTCAGCTCAGCCACTCATTGAAAACACACAGGGTGCATTCCCCACTCTTTCAGCTCTCTCTGTTGCCTACTGCTGAGGGAGTTGTGGGGCCCTAACCTTCATTGCCAGTGACATTAGCATGAAGTGCAAGACTATAAATGTGGCTAGCCCTAGCACCTAGAAGATCTATGCATGTTACACCTCATAAATGTGTTCAGACACCTCAGATTCCCAGAAAGGGGACCTTGTGGTCATACCCTGACATCTCAGATTCCCTAATGCAAAGAAGAGGGAGGCTTGGACCCAGAGTACTATCTTCAGGAGCTGAAGAGATGGTGGTAAGAGAACAGCACTTTCTATTTTAAAGCAGATGTATAGAGAGGGCATTCCCCTTGCAATAGGGTGACCAGATAGCAAGTGTAAAAAATAGGGACAAGGGGGTGGGGGGTAATAGGTGCCTATATAAGAAAAAGCCCCCAAAATCAGGACCATCCCTGTAAAATCGGGACATCTGGTCACCCTACCTTGCAAGGCAGCAGTGGCTGCTGACGTTGCTGCTAGCAGAAAAAGTGGCCCTCCATTTCCTGAGGGATTGCTATGAATTCATGTTTGTGCATTTTGAAGTTTGTATTAAAAGCCTGGAGGAACGAAGAGCCTCTATGAAAGGCTTTGAATTTAATGGAAGTTAGGTGCCTAAACAGCTGTAAAAAGCTGGCCCTTTGTGTTGGTTCTCTGAATAAATTACCAGACTCCCTTGCCCAAAAGAGGTTTTTACCTTTTGTGCTTTAAAAGGGGGTCTCCTATTGTTCAGGGGAAGGACTTTAGCACCTGGAATTGCCATCCTTACGTATTCATGCAGAATCAGCTGTGATTTAACCCTAAGGATTTTAGCTCATGTAACCTTCAGCATCCCCTGTAACTCAGTGGAGAAGTTATGACTGACAGAATTTTAAAGAATTGCCACCATTATATAGGTCAAGCAATTTATTTTAAGGTCATACTAATCATTCTGTATGCCAACATTTTAATTATTGTACTAAGATGAGATATTTCAATTAGAATAGAATTCTGCCAGCAGTAAATTAAGCTGTTTTCCAATTTGCATTTTTTGCTAACATCAGTTATAAATGTGAGATGTATCAAATCACTTGGGTTTGAAGTACACTACTCAACTTCTGTAAAGTGCCCTTTACCACGTAAATGCCTGTGCCCATAATACATTTCCCCTCTTTCTATAGAAACAGAGATTCTCCCCAGGCTAGCAAATAGATAAACTGCAACACAAGTACTCATGACAGAGATATTTGTAGGGATCAGTCTTCTGAATGTTTTAATTTAGTCAGTTTCTTAGGGTAAGTAAAATTTGTTTAACATACTATAATACAGCATGAGGCAAGGTAAGTTCTTAAGTCACAGAGCCTTTCTAATAATTTTATTGTATCCGTTTCCTTTTTCCATTCAATACTGTTGCTTGATTGAGCTCATATATTTGTTAAAACATGGGCAGTAAGGCCCCAGCCGGGCAAAGCACTTAAGTACATACTTAACTTTAAATATGTGAGTCATCCTGTTGACATGCTCAAGTGCTTTGCAGGATCAGGGCATATATTTTCAACAGGAGAACTGACTGTTGTATTACTGACTGTGGGATTACTGAGACAAAGTGGGTGCAGTAGTATCTTTTATTGGACCAACTTCTGTAAAATATATTACCTTACCAACCTTGTCTCTCTAACAGCCTGAGACCAATAACACTAAACACAACAATGGAAGATGTTGTATTGCTGTCACTTTACTTTCACTGGCCAATAGATTTAACTTATTCTAAAATAAAATAATAATAAACAGTTGTTTATGTTTTAATTTCCAAATCTCTCCCACTTCAGGGGGTACATGTCAGCCATTTGTTACTTTACCCCCAAATCTTCTCTTGGTAGAAATACAGAGGTAAACCAGAGTTTTCAAAAAATCCCAACTCAATACACAGTCATTTCTGTTACTAAGATACAGTTTACAGGAGAGATTGTAAAGCTGAATATATTGGTAAAAATAATTAGGCTTTCTGTAAAGGATAAGTCCAAATACAGCAGGCAGCAGCCAAAGTCAGCCACTATCCAGCTATAAAGTGTACCCTCATTAATGGGTCACAGAAAAGAACACTCAATCTGCTAAACCAGTCCCCAGAGGAAAAAAATGTAAATGAGAAATGAAGGTAGCCTTTTATACATGCATAGCTAGGAACCTGCTAAACCCAGCATTTACCACTATCACAATGGCTTATTGCTCAGTGGAAATAAAACATACTTGACTGTACAATGAATAGATAAAAGATAGCATAAAATAGATAAAAGGATCAGCTATTAGAATCAGATAAATATCAAGAGAAGAATTTTAAAAAATACACTACCAGCACCGTAGTCCTTCACGGAATGGAAAGAAAGAAACAAAGTAGGAAGGTCCAGACCAGAAATAAGAAAAAATTACAACTATTACTCTGTGTAACATCCCAGGAAGGAATCTTTATCATCTTATTCCACCAGCCAGGGGAGACACATGCCTGGTTTGACATTCATTATCTTTGCTACTACCTTCTGCATGACTGAGAATGGGGGAAACACCCAGGACCTGAAAAAGCCTCACACTCTGCTGCCTTTTTATATGGGAATGTAGAACAAAGATTAGGGCTTTGTGACTGTGAGAGCTGTTGAAGAGATCCAGCTGTGGAGCCCCTTCACTGGTCCTACAGCTGCAAGAAAATCCCTGGAATGCTTTCTTCTACAGAACTTGACACCTAGACAGCGCATCAGCGGTTCTCAGATTGTCTGACCTGGGAAAGTGCTGAGCAGTCAGGCTGATTTTTTTTTTTTTTGTTCTGATAAATGTCTGCATTTGTGTGGTCAGATTGGTGGTCATCTATTTTCACCTGGCCCCATCAGCTTGGTCAGATATGCTGCCACCATGCCATCGTCTGATAGCAACTTTCTGTGGCTGTCCTAGGCAAGGTATAATCCACACAACTAAGACTACAAATAGCTTTTCCTTTTCTCATCTCTTTTTAGGATGCACTAACGTACAACTTGTGAAAAAAGACAGCCAGGAGGTTTAAGGCAAACAGCACCAAACAGTCCATGGATAGCTTTCCTCTCGTTATTGTGAAAATGTACCCTCCAAGGTCTGCATGAAGGCTACCATGTCCTCAGGGAGACCCAGAGCTGCAGCCACAGTGAACTTGTTGAACGTGGATGGAGCAATGCAGAAGGGAGGTACAGGAGAGGTAGAGACCTTCAGATGGGAGGTGGTAGGGCAGTAGAAGCAGAGGCACGCATACTATCTAAGCAAATCTTCTCAAGAGGGAAGCAAGCAGTTTAGAGTATCCATATTCTTATGGAGCCAGCAGAGTGTCTTTCATAACTAGCCCTTCCTCATTTCCTGAATGAAAAGAAATAATTATTTAATCAACATTTAACCAAACCACTCTGGTTGATTTTTAAATAGGGCTGATTTTTGTTTGGTTTGTTCTTTAGTCTTGCTCTGAAGAGGAAGTTTTAGGCAGTGCCAAAGGCAGACTTGCTGGACTAATGCTATGATCCAGAATGGCAAATCTAATATGCCTATGTTTCTAAGAATAATATAGGAACAGAAATGAATTTTTTTCAGAGAAGTTCCAAGTACTTACAGCACTTCAGGCAAGAGCAAGTATTTGTCAGTGGATTAATAAGCATACCTTCTTTCAACAAAATTGCTATTTTCCTTTTAAATAGAATGAGGAAAAGGCTTTGTAAGAACCCTAAGGGTTTCAGTCATGGCTTTTCTCGGACTTGTTCAGTGTTTTCCTCACTATTCTCTACGGGCATTTCCTTCCATGCCTCTTACATCTTGAACTATATACCCTTTGACAAAAATTAAAATCTACATAAGCCTCCAAACATTCATTCTAGCATTAGTAGTCCATATACATTGCATCCAATGCAGCATACCAATTGCTGTGTCAGGCTATGTTTTTCAAGATACTCCTGAGGAAGAGCAACAGTAAGTTCACAGACTTTATGCAACCAATCACAACAACAACCACAACCAAACCAGGGACCTGCTTTTCAGAAAGTGGATTCTTTCTGTGTATGTGCAAACATATGGATGTTCTGTTTTCAAGCACTAACAGCTGGAAATCGTTTCAAATGACATAATTTATGTATTTATTTTAAAAACATAGGGAAATTCCATTAAAAACATCCTAAGTTTAGAGAGCATTAAGTTTCCACTGTTAAGCATTACAAGGTCTGGAATTGCTGGACTTAAGTTTGCACATGCACCCTTTGCTCTTCTCCTCTGTGTGAGTTCTAATTCAGCCTGTAATGACATGATCACATACCCTCTCAAATGCTATCATACATCCTTATGCAATTTTGACACTCTCATATAGTGTGCTCTATCAAGTGCTCAGTGATTGAGGCTAAGGCTCTGCAATAGGAAAGTGTATAGTGACTAAGCATGTTACACGATACACCTTACATTTTATTCCCATCATCATTCTACGTAGTAGAAAAAAACTGTTTCTAATTAGGTAATCATGTCCTAATCTTCAGATGGTGTAAATTGATGTAGCGTCAATTCTGTCCACTGAAGTGTAGTATCAGAGCAAAGTCAGTGAAGCTACACAATTTTACACAGCCAAGCATCTGGCCCACAACTGTAACAACTGTAACTGTAACATATCATTATGACCTTTTTACAAGGAATGTTCCCGTATATATTTTATGAACTATTAAAATTATTTTCATTATAGAGCATTGCTAATTTATCAGGATACAGTTGTGTTGTCGTAAGACCGAAACATGACCCAGATTTATGTGGCTGCAAGGGACGGATAACCCTGGAAATGGACTCTGTTCCTGTCTGTCCAGGATGTTAAGGATGGATGAGCCTGCAGAACATAAGGAGCACATAAAGAATATAGGGAGAAGACCACTGGAAAATCCATGTACATGTTTCTGAAACTTTCAGCCTGTGTATCTATCTAGACCACAAGTGAAAGCAAGGGATTTTAATGTTTGAGCAACAGAATCTCCAAGTCTTATGCATTATTAATTTATCTTAACAAAAATAGCATGGGGACGTCAAGGTTCATTAGACATTTTAATAGCATATTAATTTATTTAAGGACTGTCACACCATGAAGCCTACCCAATGTAACTGATTGTTTTGAAGAGATAATTTACTGTCTACATGTTCCACTAATCACCTCAAATGAAAATCATGTCTAATGATCACAGATTCAGTGCCTGGTTACTTTAACAATGTTTCAATATTCATTTACATTTGTTTTTCCTAATTAGAATTAATTGGAATAAATATGTGTCAAACAGTTAAAAAGTCAGTAACCTAATTTCGGGGGAAAGATACATTGCCTGGCTGAAGTGCCTGGCTGTGTTTTTCTTCTTCTGTTTTGCCCTGTGGACTTTGTTTAGATTATATGACAACCATCAACTGCCAGACGTGCCCTTGCCTTTTTGCTAAATCCAGTAGCAATCCTGGAATATGTTAACCCTAGAATTTAAACCCTTAAGGTTTATTTCATTTTAATGGTAAAATAGGAGAAATGACTAATATAACAGTCCCTTAAAATGTAAATGATTTATAATTAATCAGCTCATGTTATTGAGTGTATATTGCATGGTATAAATGTTCTGTTTTTCACAAGGATAGGACCAGTAGTAACACCTAAGACAAAGCAAAGACTAGGCAAGTGTTCCTTTAGCCTATCCATACACCTCTGCCTATGCACTACTGTGCTGGCCTATAGAATACTTGGGTCTCTCTTAAGGAGAGGTTGCCAATTTATTAAAATGATGTGATATGGATAAATGTCCACCAAACTCATTTTCACCTGTGATCTAAGGTAGGATTTATTCCCAGGTCTTCAAAGGTGAAGAGATAATACATTCATTTATTGGAAGAAATGGCTGCAAGATTCATATTCTTAAAGAACCATGAAAAATGAAGTTGATTGTCATGATTTTGCATGGCTGAAGTGAAGAGTGGTTGCATCTGAAGAAGAGGGTTTTTTACCCACAAAATCTTATGCCCAAATAAATCTGTTAGTCTTTAAAGTGCCACCGGACACCTTGTTGTTTTTGTGGATACAGACTAACATGGCTACCCCTCTGATAAGTGATTGTTTTATGTTTGTTCATTTGTGTGCCCTTGTTGCCAAGAAGGCTAACAGCATTTTGGGATGTATAAGAAGGAGAATTGCCAGCAGATCGAGGGACATGATTATTCCCCTCTATTTGGCATTGGTGAGGCCTCATCTGGAATACTGTGTCCAGTTTTGGCCCCACACTACAAGAAGGACATGGAAAAATTGGAAAGACTCCATCTTAGAGCAACAAAAATGATTAGGGGGCTGGAGCACATGATTTATGAGGAGAGGCTGAGGGAACTGGGATTATTAAGTCTACAGAAGAGAAGAAGGAGGGGGGATTTGATAGCTGCTTTCAACTACCTGAAAGGGGGTTCCAAAGAGGATGGCTCTAGACTGTTCTCAATGGTAGCAGATGACAGAACAAGGAGTAATTGTCTCAAGTTGCAGTGGGGGAGGTTTAGGTTGGATATTAGGAAAAACTTTTTCACTAGGAGGGTGGTGAAGCACTAGAATGGGTTACCTAGGGAGGTGGTGGAATCTCCTTCCTTAGAGGTTTTTAAGGTCAGGCTTGACAAAGCCCTGGCTGGGATGATTTAATTGGGGATTGGTCCTGCTTTGAGCAGAGGGTTGGACTTGATGACTTCCTGAGGTCCCTTCCAACCCTGATATTCTATGATTCTATGATTGTCAATTTGATTGGGCAAAATGTTTCAAAAGTACAGACCATGAAAGGAGTTTTAGCTTTTAAAGAAAAGCCTGGAAGAAAGTCAGAGTGACATGACAGAAAAGTTTTCCATGTAAAATTTCCCCCCTTTTAAAGACATAGTTTTTTTGCTCATTTTCACCAACAAAATGCATCTTCTTCCAAAGAAAAGAAAAACATATCTACCAACTTTGGAAAGCTATAAATCAGAGACATTTGGAATGGAAAATAGGAAATGGTAGGCATGGAATGTCAGATTAAGGCCTGGTCTCTGCTTCATCTACTGGGTAATAATATGGAAAGATGCCATGCATATAAAATTAAATTGACACTTTATTAAAAGAACTGATGGTCTATTGGCCTGAAAGTCTTCGAGAAATATTTACAGAGGTATTGCAAATTCAGCTAACATTCTAAGCCAGGTCATGCACACTGGCTTCCTGGTGCCTCTTCCAAATCCTTCCTTCCTGCAACTTGTATTCCTCTCTCCAAATTCCATGCAGGTTCTATATTAGAAAGTCTGTGCTGGTTCAATGTAATGGATTTGAAACTAATTTAACTATGCTCATGCAACCCCCTAATGTAGATGCCCTTAAACCAGTTTAAGTGCCAGCTAACCCAGTTTTGTAAGTGAGGCTTAAATCAGTTTTAAGTGTGTCAAGGTTCCTCCCCCACTCTGAACTCTAGGGTACAGATGTGGGGACCTGCATGAAAAACCTCCTAAGCTTATCTTTACCAGCTTAGGTCAAAACTTCCCCAAGGTACAAAATATTCCACCCGTTGTCCTTGGACTGGCCGCTACCACCACCAAACTAATACTGGTTACTGGGGAAGAGCTGTTTGGACGCGTCTTTCCCCCCAAAATACTTCCCAAAACCTTGCACCCCACTTCCTGGACAAGGTTTGGTAAAAGCCTCACCAATTTGCCTAGGTGACTACAGACCCAGACCCTTGGATCTTAAGAACAATGAACAATCCTCCCAACACTTGCACACCCCCCCCCTTTCCTGGGAAATGTTGGATAAAAAGCCTCACCAATTTGCATAGGTGACCACAGACCCAAACCCTTGGATCTGAGAACAATGAAAAAGCATTCAGTTTTCTTACAAGAAGACTTGTAATAAAAATAGAAGTAAATAGAAATAAAGAAATCCCCCCTGTAAAATCAGGATGGTAGATATCTTACAGGGTAATTAGATTCAAAAACATAGAGAACCCCTCTAGGCAAAACCTTAAGTTACAAAAAA